TTTTTTAGTATTTTTCACATTGAATCATTGGGAAAAAGTCCTCAAAATTTTAACTTTCCACTCGCTTTAGTTTTTGAGTGAAAAAATTGTTTGTAAAGTCTTATTTTACAAAACATCATTATTTTCAAAAAATCGCAACTCTATTAATAATAACTCAATCGCTTTGAGTTTTTAGTATTTTTTACATTGAATCATTAAGAAAAAGTCCTCAAAATTTCAACTCTCCACTCATTTTAGTTTTTGAGTGAAAAAATTGTTTGTAGAGTCTTACTTTACAAAACATCATTATTTTCAAAAAATCGTAACTCCATTAATAATAACTCAATCGCTTTGAGTTTTTAGTATTTTTTACATTAAATCATTAGAAAAAAGTCCTCCAAATTTCAACTCTCCTCTCATTTTAGTTTTTGAGTGAAAAAATTGTTTGTAGAGTCTTACTTTACAAAACATCATTATTTTCAAAAAATCGTAACTCCATTAATAATAACTCAATCGCTTTGAGTTTTTAGTATTTTTTACATTGAATCATTAGGAAAAAGTCCTCAAAGTTTCAACTTTCCACTCACTTTAGGTTTTGAGTGAAAAAATTGTTTGTAGAGTCTTACTTTACAAAACATCATTATTTTCAAAAAATCGTAACTCCATTAATAATAACTCAATCGCTTTGAGTTTTTAGTATTTTTTACATTGAATCATTAGGAAAAAGTCCTCAAAATTTCAACTTTCCACTAATTTTAGTTTTTGAGTGAAAAAATTGTTTGTAAAGTCTTACTTTACAAAACATCATTATTTTCAAAAAATCGTAACTCCATTAATAACAACTCAATCGCTTTGAGTTTTTAGTATTTTTTACATTGAATCATTAGGAAAAAGTCCTCAAAATTTCAACTCTCCACTTATTTTAGTTTTTGAGTGAAAAAATTGTTTGTAGAGTCTTACTTTACAAAACATCATTATTTTCAAAAAATCGCAACTCTATTAATAATAACTCAATCGCTTTGAGTTTTTAGTATTTTTTACATTGAATCATTAGGAAACAGTCCTCAAAATTTCAACTCTCCACCCATTTTAGTTTTTGAGTGAAAAAATTGTTTGTAAAGTCTTACTTTAAACAAAACATCATTATTTTCAAAAAATCGTAACTCCATTAATAATAACTCAATCACTTTGAGTTTTTAGTATTTTTTACATTGAATCATTAGGAAACAGTCCTCAAAATTTCAACTCTCCTCTCATTTTAGTTTTTGAGTGAAAAAATTGTTTGTAAAGTCTTACTTTACAAAACATCATTATTTTCAAAAAATCGTAACTCCATTAATAATAACTCAATCGCTTTGAGTTTTTAGTATTTTTTACATTGAATCATTAGGAAAAAGTCCTCAAAATTTCAACTCTCCACTCATTTTAGTTTTTGAGTGAAAAAATTGTTTGTAGAGTCTTACTTTACAAAACATCATTATTTTCAAAAAATCGTAACTCCATTAATAATAACTCAATCGCTTTGAGTTTTTAGTATTTTTTACATTAAATCATTAGAAAAAAGTCCTCAAAATTTCAACTTTCCACTCACTTTAGTTTTGAGTGAAAAAATTGTTTGTAAAGTCTTACTTTACAAAACATCATTATTTTAAAAAAATCGTAACTCCATTAATAATAACTCAATCGCTTTGAGTTTTTAGTATTTTTTACATTGAATCATTAGGAAAAAGTCCTCAAAATTTCAACTTCCCACTCACTGCAGTTTTTGAGTGAAAAAATTGTTTGTAGAGTCTTACTTTACAAAACATCATTATTTTTAAAAAATCGTAACTCCATTAATAATATCTCAATCTTTTTGAGTTTTTAGTATTTTTTACATATGATTTTTCAGTCATCCATTACCCCCTCCAAATAATCATGTATGGACCGCCACTGGTTAACATTCCTTGTTAGTATGAATTTAATTGTACAGTTAAAAACCTATAATTTTCAAACGTATAAGAACATTTGGAAGTTTTCTGATAACTTCTAGAACTTCCCAGCACTTCAAAATCACTGAGACTGAGGAACCAATTAAAAACTTTGGAAACCATTTCAAAAAGCTTCAGAATGCGATAGCGCGAAGTTAGAACATCTTTAAGCATTTTGAAACGCTCTAGAGCAAGTTAGAAATTTGTTTGAGACAAATTGGAATCTTTAGGAACATTTTTAAACGTTACAAAACATTTTAGAATTTGAGACACATTCTAGAACAGACCAGAACACGTTCGGCATCATTTTAGAAAGCTTTTGGAACACTCTGGAGCAGTTTACAAATCATATGGAATCTAAAACTGGAAACTTTCAAGAATAACTTGAAAATCGTCACATGACCCCTTAGAATTAACAACTTCCATGAACATATTAGAACATTCTAGAACACTTCTGAACTTATTTGGAATTTCAATTAGAACCACAAGATGGGAGATTTTTGAAATTTTTCAGAGTATTTTAATAAAATAAATAATAAGTCATTGTCATAATTATTTTTTCTCTTCAGGCTCTCAAAATACTGTAACAGCAGGTACCTTGAGCACGTCCGAGATCTCGCATGCCTCAAGCTCGAACGAAATCAACGACGACATCCTGTTGGGTAGTTTAGATCCGCCTTTACGTCCTGCTACTCCCGACTGGGACGATCCCAGATCTGTGGATAAATTCGAAGAACATAAGAAATTAGCCAGGGATTATTTAAAAGTGAGTTGTTGTTGTTGGATTAATGTATTTGTTTCTTGTTGCAAAACATCTTGATTCATTTTTATCAACTTCCTTTGCTGATTTTTTTATTCCCAAATAGTTTTTCCTTAATACATTCTAGGAAATGATAGCAAACAACCAACAGAGTTAGTAGAGACAAGAAATAGAATTGGTTGCTCGTCTGTGGATATTCTTCTACAATAATTATTCCTGCAATAGAAAATGTGTGTTATTTTTTTCTTTAATTTGCTTTCTTTATTTTTCAATTTGTATCTATTCTCGGCTCTTGAATTTTTCAATTTCCAATATTTTCCAAAGGTCAATGAAAAAGCCAATTTTACTTTTCATAGACAAAAATCAATTTTCTGAGAACCTGCCTAGTGTTTATTTTGGTTTAATTACCGAAGAAAAATAAACGAAAATGTTGTTCTAATCAAGCGAAATTCCAATTATCCGAATAGGTTAACAAAAATTTAATTTGTTGCTGGGAATTCGTCTTACGTCATTGAAAATCCTCTGATTGTTTCGACTTGAGCTTTATAGAAATAAATCAAAATTGAGTGGTTTATTTTGACGGTGAAGTATGGGCATATGGGCTAGAAAAAAATGTTTTATTTGAACAAGTTTAATTATTTTTCAGTTGGAAACCGAGCTTGTACTATTAGTCCAAAGAAAAAATGAGCTCCTGCAACAACGACTGGAAGGAGAAAGGCGGCAGCAAGAATTGAAGCGACTGCAAGAAGAAAAGGAATCATTGAGGCTGATAAGAGACTGTTTACATCAAGAAGTTGAAAATACCATGCAAAGGAACCATGATAACAGGGATGGGTGGGTTATAGTACCTCAACAGGATAGAGAAAATCAAGAACAGTAATAATTATGTTTATTTATTCAAAGAGTGTTTAGTTTGAAACCAAACTTATATACAAATGCAACTGGATGAATTGGATGATTGTTTTGTGTGCATTTTTTTATTCAGTAAAATATTTGTTGCATTGAGTCAAGTGGCGTAAGAATTGTTTTTCCACACTCAATTGCTTTATTGGACTATTTTTTACAGTTCTTATATTGTTAGGAAATAATATACTAATGTGATAATGTTAAAAATAATTTACCTATATACATATTTGTTTGATATATTTTTAGTACTTAGTAATTTGTTTTGATAAATAATAAGCTCTTTTTATATGTATTGTAAAATTGTTTGAAGTTGCAACTAAAAACTATAATTGAGTAAAAATTTGAATTTTATTACAATTTCTCAAAAGATATTTCATCCAAAAAATTGTCCAAAGTTTGGTCACCCAATTCTCCATCAAAACTTAATTCTTCTTGATTTAAAGACAAATCTATATCATTGTTTTTAACCATTTCAAAGTTTTCTAAAGGTACTGTTGTCCGTAACCTTAACATTATTTTTTTAAAAATTTTGTAATTTACAGTAAAAGCTTGGAAAAATTGCACTACAATTATGGGATCATTTTTGTCAAAAGTAAGAACCCCAAAAATTGTAACAAGACTATCACAATCAGGCCTAGTTGCCAAATTTGTAAGATTTAATTTAATTTTTGTACTTTTCCAGTAAACTTGTTCAAGGCTAATAAGAAAATAATCTTGTTCGTACAATTTTAAAATGCCTACAACTTGAATGTGGCAATTTTTTGGAAAGTGATTGGGGGAAAATTCAATTAGTTCATCAAGTAGGTAAAAAATGTACAATTTATGGGGGTTTTTTGATATTGGACTGTGAATTGTATCAGTGAGGGGGTAACTTTTTTCTATAGTTTCCGATGTTGATGGTCCTGCTTCTTCATCTTGGTCATTTTTACCCAGAAAAACTGTAGAACTAAAGGCAAGATCTTCACTTTTGCTTTCTGTGATTATTTTCTGATCTTTTTCACTTACTTCTGAAATACTTGTGGTAGGTTTTTCGCTATTGCTCAAATTCGTCGTTGTTGATTTCTGAGTGATATTTCTTTCAAATTCAGAAACTAGCTGACTCAGAAATTGAGAATTATTTTCTTCAGTGAATTTTGCCCTGATTTTTCTAGCTTTATGTTTTGTTTTTTTGATTTTCTTTTTTTCTGGAGTTTTTTCAATTATTGAATCGTCACTCATAATAATACTCAATAGAAATTACCAATTGAGGTAGGAAATTACAAATATTCAAATTTTAAAATTTGAAACGGAAACACAAATCATATGATATATGTCAAGGTCGTTCTTCTTTTTTTAGTGGCTGTAGCAACTTAATCCTATTGCCACTTACTTGTCAGTTGTCCCTCCTAACCTCAAAAAAAAAATAATTTTTATATTTTTATCAGCAAAATCTTTTTTTCTCAATCAAAAAATATCCAAAATTTAATTATCCACCATGCAAATATTGAAATTTTTAAGTATATTCCTTCTCTTGCATTGCGCCCTAGGAAATTTTGCGGGCGAAAATGAGTTTGCAGAATTCGAAGATTTTGAAGATTCGGAGCAGAATTTTGTCGAAGAAAATGAACAGGTACAAGAGGATCCTGCTGCAAATCAATTTATTCCTGTTAACGGTGAAAATTTGAACGAAGAAGCGTTAATTGAAGAGGAAAGCGATGAAGAGGTAATTAATAATAATTTGATAAATAGGTCATAAGAATTTGTAATAATAATTGTTTGTTTAGTTGATACAAATTTCAGATAATTTTAAGCCTTAGGTAAATACAGCCTTTGGAATTATTCTGAAACTAGGCTCAAAATACAAGAAGTTAATAATTATATAAGTTTTAGTCTTAAGGTTACTTACACAAAATTTTTATTCATGAATTTTCCTCATATTTCCGTGAGAAAGCTTCTTGCCAAATATGCAGTTTTTTGAATGATTATCTTCTGAGAAATTCAAAATTGAAAATCATCAATTCCTATCTAAATGTTCAGAAACGATTTTGATTGGTTTATGTCCTGTTACAGGCTTTGTCAGATTTTCATATTATTCCTAGGTAAAGTTGTACTATATACTGTTGTATATGGGTTCGGACTAAGTAATGCAATAAATAATTAGGTAAAACTGTATATTTAAAGCATGAAATTACAACATGAGTTGACTGACTAACTGACTGACTAACTCGTCATCAGGTGGTGTCTTTGTTAAGCTACTCATAACGATAATAAAATAATAGTTCCCGAGTCGCTTAAATCTGACATGCTTCAACAAATTCATAAGACACATTTTGGCATTTCAAAATCCAAATTGAGAGCGCCTGACTGACTGACTAACTCGTCATCAGGTGGTGTCTTTGTTAAGCTACTCATAACATATACTATTATAAGTACGAAGAAGAATACTTAAATATTAGGTACAAGTAAGTACTGTATTGAAGGACCTTCAGAATTAGGGCTTTAGAAAGCCAAAATTCAATACAGATTATTCTGATCTGTGATTCTGACAATAACTCTGTGCAATAACTCATAGCAATAACTGACAACATGACATACAATAATCAATCAATATCAAAGGGTAAACCACCATCTCGGAATTGGTGCAAACAATTCCTCAAAGGGGAATTTTTCACGCAAATTCCTCAAAATTCCTGCAAATTATTCCAAATTCCTCCAGATACTCCATCATAAAGTCCTCCAAATACCCTATCACCAACTTCTCCAAATACCCCACAAATTCCTCTAAAAAAAAAGGAAAATTTTGAAACTTTTTGCATGTAAAGAGGAAGGTGAGAACATCATTTTCCCACAATTTCAAATTTTTCCAGTAGAAAACAGCAACATGAAAAATCTTGGAAATCAACCTACAAAAACTGAATTAGTGGAAAATACAGTCTCACATATTTCAAAGTTTTCCTGAAAAACTAGCAAAGGGAAAATTTTCAAACTTTTTACATGTAAAGAGAAAGGTGAAAACCTATTTTCCCAAAATTTCAAATTTTTCCAGTAGAAAACAGCAACATGAAAAATCTTGGAAATGAACCTACAAAAACTGAATTAGTGGAAAATACAGTCTCACATATTTCAAAGTTTTTCTAGAAAACTAGGAAAGGGGAAATTTTGAAACTTTTAGAAGTAAAGAGGAAGGTGAGAGCATCATTTTCCCAAAATTTCAAATTTTTCCAATAGAAAACAGCAAAATGAAAAATCTTGAAAATTAGCCTACAAAAACTGAATTAGTTGAAAATACAGTCTCCCACATTTCAAAATTTTCCTGGGAAACTAGTGAAGGGAGAAATTTGAAACTTTTTGCAGGTAAAGAGAAAGGTTACAAGCTCATTTTCCCAGAATTTCAAATTTCTTTATTAAAAAATTACAACATGAGAAATTTTAGAAATCAACCTACAATAATTGAATTACTTGAAAATACAGTCTCACATATTTCAAAGTTTTCCTAGAAAACTAGAAAAGAGGAAATTTTGAAACATTTAGAAGTAAAGAGGAAGGTGAGAACATCATTTTCCCAAAATTTCAAATTTTTCCAATAGAAAACAGCAAAATAAAAAATCTTGAAAATTAGCCTACAAAAACTGAATTACTTAGTTGAAAATACAGTCTCACATACGAGCTCACATATTTCAAAGTTTTCCTGGAAAACTAGAAAAGGGAAAACTTTAAGACTTTTTGCATGTAAAGAGGAAGGTGAGAACATCATTTTCCCAAAATTTCAAATTTTTCCAATGAAAAACGGCAACATGAAAAATCTCTAGATTACAGTTTCACACATTTCAAAATTTTCCTGGAAAGCTAGTGGAGGGAGAAATTTGAAACTTTTTGCATGTAAAGAGAAAGGTTAGAAGCTCATTTTCCCAGAATTTCAAATTTCTCTGGTAAAAAATTACATGAGGAATCTTGGAAATCAACCTACAAAAACTGAATCAGTTGAAAATACAGACTCACACATTTCAAAGTTTTCCTGGAAAACTGGTGAAGGGAGAACTTTGAAACTTTTTGCAAGTAAAGAGAAAGGTTAGAAGCTCATTTTCCCAGAATTTCATTTTTTTTCAGTAAAAAATTACAACATGAGGAATCTTGGAAATCAACTGATAATAACTGAATTACTTGAAAATACAGTCTCACATATTTCAAAGTTTTCCTGGAAAACTAGAAAAGGGGAAATTTTGAAACTTTTAGAAGTAAAGAGGAAGGTGAGAACATCATTTTCCCAAAATTTCAAATTTTTGCAGTAGAAAACAGCAACATAAAAAATCTTGGAAATCAACCTACAAAAACTGAATTAGTTGAAAATACAGTCTCACTCACGAGCTTACATATTTCAAAGTTTTCCTGGAAAACTAGAAAAGAGAAAACTTTGAGACCTTTCGCATGTAAAGAGGAAGGTGAGAACATCATTTTCCCAAAATTTCAAATTTTTCCAGTGGAAAACAACAACATGAAAAATCTTGGAAATCAACCTACAAAAACTGAATTAGTTAAAAATACAGTTTCACACATTTTCCTGGAATACTATTGAAGGGAGAAATTTGAAACTTTTTGCATGTAAAGAGAAAGGTTAGAAGCTCATTTTCCCAGAATTTCAAATTTCTCCAGTAAAAAATTACATGAGGAATCTTGGAAATCAACCTACAAAAACTGAATTAGTGAAAATACAGTTTCACACATTTCAAAGTTTTCCTGGAAAACTACTGAAGGGAGAAATTTAAAACTTTTTGCATGTAAAGAGAAAGGTTAGAAGCTTATTTTCCCAGAATTTCAAATTTCTCCAGTAAAAAATTACAACATGAGGAATCTTGGAAATCAACCTACAAAAACTGAATTAGTGAAAATACAGTCTCACACATTTCAAAGTTTTCCTGGAAAACTACTGAAGGGAGAAATTTGAAACTTTTTGCATGTAAAGAGAAAGGTTAGAAGCTCATTTTCCCAGAATTTCATTTTTTTTCAGTAAAAAATTACAACATGAGGAATCTTGGAAATCAACCAATAATAACTGAATTACTTGAAAATACAGTCTCACATATTTCAAAGTTTTCCTGGAAAACTAGAAAAGGGGAAATTTTGAAACTTTTAGAAGTAAAGAGGAAGGTGAGAACATCATTTTCCCAAAATTTCAAATTTTTGCAGTAGAAAACAGCAACATAAAAAATCTTGGAAATCAACCTACAAAAACTGAATTAGTTGAAAATACAGTCTCACTCACGAGCTTACATATTTCAAAGTTTTCCTGGAAAACTAGAAAAGAGAAAACTTTGAGAGCTTTCGCATGTAAAGAGGAAGGTAAGAACATCATTTTCCCAAAATTTCAAATTTTTCCAGTGGAAAACAGCAACATGAAAAATCCTAAAAATCAACCTACAAAAACTGAATTAGTTGAAAATACGGTTTCACACATTTCAAAGTTTTCCTGGAAAACTACTGAAGGGAGAAATTTGAAACTTTTTGCATGTAAAGAGAAAGGTTAGAAGCTCATTTTCCCAGAATTTCAAATTTCTCTAGTAAAAAATTACATGAGGAATCTTGCAAATCAACCTACAATAACTGAATTAGTTGAAAATACAGTCTCACACATTTCAAAGTGTTCCTGGAAAACTAGTGAAGGGAAAATTTTGAAACTTTTTGCATGTAAAGAGGAAGGTGAGAAGCTCATTTTCCCAAAATTTCAAATTTTTTCAGTTGAAAATAACAACATAAAAAATCTTGGCCTACAAAAACTGTATTAATTATTTTTTTGAATTTTTTAAATTTGATAATTTCCTCTAAATTTCTCACAAATTTTCCTAAATTCCCCATAAATTCCTCCAAATTCCCTATAAATTTCCCAAATTTTCATAAATTCGGATGAATTCCTTCAAATTCCCCACAAATTCCTCTAAATTTCCCACATATTCTCCAAACTGCTCACAAATTCCCTGCAAATGTCTGTTACAAATTTCCTAAAAATCCCCAATACTGTTTGTGATAAGAATTTTCTATTTTTATCACACTCAATGTTAAAACCAATAAATTCCTCCAAATTCTCCACAAATTCCTTTAAAATCCTCACAGTTTTGGCTAAGAATTCCTAGGTAGTTTGCCCCTTGCTTTCTATACTTACATGTAATGCCAAAAAAAATCTCTTCTTTCAGTAAAAAAAAAATCATTTTTCTTTTTATTCTTTACAGGAAGTAGACATCGAAGTAGATTCCGAATTTGAACATTTCCAAGACACAGACGAATTCGAAGGCTTCGAAGAAAAAGAAGAAAAACCCCTAACAGAACCAAAAATAACTATCGCAAAAGTACCATTGAATCTAATCCACAACTGGGACAGTTACTATTTGGAGATTTTAATGATAGCAATAATGGTTGCTTATTTCATTAACTTTGCTATGGGTAGAAGTAAAAATTCCAAAATAGCTTCTACATGGTTTGAATTAAATAAGCAACTATTGGAAGAAAATTTTGCAATGGTTGGTGACGATGGTAGCAAGGAGAGAAACGAAAATGTCAATTTAGTAAAGGAAAGTGAAAATGTTTACACATTGTGGTGCAGTGGAAGGACTTGTTGCGAAGGAATGTTGGTTGAATTAAGACTTATCAAAGTATGTAATTCATAATAACTGACAAAATATTACTTCAATAATTGTTTTTAGCGTCATGATTTGGTAGCCCTAATCGCAAATTTAATGAAGCCCTCTGTGGACCAAGTTCATATAACTGTAAGAATGAGCAAAGAAGATATGGACAATTTCGTTTTTGCAGCCGCCATCAAAAAAACGGCCCTACAAATCACTAAAGACTTGCAAGATATTAGTATTTACAGTCCAGAAAGAAAAGCTGGAGAAAAATTCAACCTCCCTGCAAGTTTTCAAGTGATGTCCGAAATTGGAGAAGCCACTTCAGCTATGCTAGACTCAAAAATTATAGCTATATTGAACAAATATCCTGAATATGTAGATTATATTCATTTTTCTGATCAATTTTCTGGCATGAAACTAACTGATGATATTAACCCAAATCCAAATAAAATGCCCGATGTTGAAAAAGTCCTAAGATTCGGATTCAATTTACAAACCAAAGGCGTGCCATTAGAAGAAACCTTGACAAGACTGAAACCATTAATGAGCATGGTATTCTACTGTATGGATAAAGTGAAACGTTACCGGTTATCCAGAGAAGGCAAATTGAAAGCTGACAAAAACAGGCAAAAGGTGGAAGAAGCTTTTTTGAAGTCCACCCATCAAGCCAGAGCTGAAGCAGCTGCGGCCAAACGGGAAGAAAAGAAACGTCAGGAGAAGGAAAAAATATTGGCAGAGGAAGATCCGGAAAAACAAAGACGTTGGGAGATTAAGGAGGAGAAACGTCAGGCCAAAAAAAGGGCACCTAGGATGAAGCAGTTGAAAGTTAAAGCTTTGTAAATTGATCTCGAGTAATATATGTATTATGTTGTTAAATATGTACTAGTGGTATTGGTTAGTGTTTATTTGAAGTTGTATAAAAATTAATGAGTACAGTTCAAGTGGCAATAAATACAAAATTAAAACTTTTTGATTTCTTTTAATTAATAATAATAAATTTATTCAATACTCAGATACATTGTTTAAGTATAAATGATTTCGAACTGCACCAATGCGTTATGGAGAATCTATGTGTCAAGTTTTGAATGAATTTGCTATACCAAGTAAGCAAGTACATATCAAGAATTTAAAAATCTTTACATTGAAATATAAGTTGAAGCCTTGATCTGTATGTACTCTGGATAATAATGATTAAAGTTTCAGTAAGTATACTTTCAAATCTAGATTATAATTGAAGGGAAATAAGCAAAAATGTAATCAAATCTAAAATACTGAGATAGTTTCTTATTATGCAAAGCCTTTGTATATCTGAAAAAAACTTAAACCACTTCCTTCTAAAATCGGTTCTTACTCAAACCAGGCCCAATTTACCAATAACAGACAAGAAAACCCATTGCGTCTCGGTCGCTTATTATTGTGGCAAAGACCGCGAATCTATCTGAAATGAAAAAAAAAAGTACTCAACGCGGTCAATTCGGAAGTACTGTTATAGAAATTTCTAATCAATGAAAAGAATGAATTACATAAAGGAAGAAGTGATGCACAAAATAAGGCTTTAATCAAGCAGAAACTTTGATCAATTGGTCTTGTTTATAATAGCTATATTATTTTCACCAAAAGATCAATTTACTTATGTCCAAATCCTCAATCAATGATCTAGATAAATTGTCACCTATTTCCGTTTTTATTTGCTCCAAAAAAAAAAAACAATTTTGTGTAGACTATAAAAGCAAATCTCTTGCACAAAATTTATTCAGTATTGAAACAGCGTTCATAAGTTTATTCTTGCCAAAATGTGTCTGAAGGTAAATTTGATCATTTTTTTTTTTTTGGCAAATAATTTACTTAATTTTGTAGTTTGCTCCGTTGGTACTTTTGTGCCTTAGTGGTTTGGCGGCGCAAAAGATTCAAGTCGGTGTAGATCAATCGGTACCCGATCATCAACCTTCCGAATCTGGATTTGTAGGTTTTGCCCAGCCTGCGGCCTCACAAGCAGCAGGAAGTAAATACTTTCAGTAAGTAATTAAAAATTATCAATAGTAGGTAGAGCTATGGTAGAAAAATGTACCTAATTGAGGTAAAATATTCAGTTTATTTGGTACCTACTTTAAGTATTTTATTCAAGTAGGTACTTACAGTTCAAAGTATTTTAAGAATTGGTGCTTAAATTTGACAATTTATTTAAAGTACACATATCTACAATACTTACAATTTACTTAACGTAGTGATCAAAAATACATATTTAATCTATTTTAAGTACATAGGTACTTATTTATTATTCAGTATTTCACTTAAAATATGTATTCAAAGTAGGTACTTCTTTGGTATAGGTAGGAGATAATGCTGGTATAAGAAAAAATTGATTTTTTTTTTTGAAAATCTTTAAACTGTCATATCTTGGTAACCAAAAGCGGTAGCCGGACAAAATTTTCAGGAATTACAGCTCCTAATAAATGCTTTCAAATGGTGTTTAATTGAAATCGATAATGCTTAGGGTTTCTGAGAAAATCGAGTTTGAAGTTGACTTAAAGTCAACTTTAAAGTTCGATATCTCAGGAACTTCACCAGCTACAAAAAACAATTATGTACGGCTTCATAGAGAATTTAATACTCTTTTCAATGATGTATAATTGTAGGTGATTTTCTGAAAGTTTACAGAAGATTTGAGCAAATATTTATGGCCGTGTCCAGATTTCAATCAAATTTCAGAGTTAAAAATGAGATTCCTTCTGGATTTTTTTTCTCGACGAAATTTTCGAATGTAACTGATGCTCAAGTTGTTTCTTACTTATTCAGGGCAGGTTTTATAAAACTACTTTGGCATTTAACTAAAAGTTACCGTAAAATCGGGTGACTTGAGACGATTTTGACTTTCAGCAAGCGATATTTTCGAAACTATTTCACTTAGCGATGACTTAAACACGTCAAAAGTTGAGTCTTAATCCATATAATCGGTTTTATAAGTTGAGTTTTTTGTGAATAACAAGTTACCCAGGGTTTTTTATTTTTTTTTGACTGTCTCATGTCGGACGCTAGGGTGGGTTACTTGAGACAACCATATTTTTCAAGCTTTTGCTCATGTTTCAAGCTAAAAGAATCACTTGAGACAAAAGAAACGTTTTTTAAAAGGTGGCTATTGACTCCTAGCGCAAGCAGGCTTGATATTGTCACACCAACGAGTGTTTGAAATGTGACAATGTCTCTTTAAAAAAAGCCGGACCAAATCTTTCCCAGGCAAGTTATTTTTTTTGAATTTTTGATCACCCCGTCCTTCTTTACGACTTTACTAAAGGTTTTGAGTCGTTGCCCGTGATTAGAAAGCCCCAACGGCAAGCAACTTCTAAATTTTCCACAAAGTCTCTGCTCCTCTTCCACTGTAAAGACTATTTGACAACCGGGATTTTTTTTGATGAGATTATTCACTTTTCGTTGAATGGTGCACCTGGAAATGCCATATTTTTTTGATAATAATCGATAAGATTTACTCGTTCTTCAATCGCTGGTTTCAACATTCCGCTATCATTATCAGCATAGGTCCTGCAGCCAAGTTTTTTTTTTTTTTGTATTTTCCCATAATATGCTGAAAACACCATAAAAACAATTGAAACAGGCACATAATAACACTCTGAATAGTTTTGGGGTGACTTGAGACAAGTCTCAAGTCACCCGCAACAACCGCCATTTTACCTTTTCATATATATATTTTTCTTTCTTAAAAAGGGAAAGTAACTTACTATATTCCAAAAGATGCACAAAATATCAATCTATTTCTGAGTAAAGTTTCAATAGGCAGTCCTAGACAGTATAGAGACAGTATGCAAAGTTATTTAGCTATTTTTAAGTTCAACAATTACATACATGCGTAAAAAACTGCACAAAAATTAACTTATCGTTTCCGAGGTGGTTCAAATATTACTATAACACGTCTTGACAACCCTTAAGTCGAATAAATATGATTGGCGCCCAAATGCGTCGGATATATTATTGCCAGGTATATAATTGGTTTCCTCAAAAGTTTTGTCTCAACTCGCCCGGCTGTCTCAAGTCACCCAGTTTGACGGTAACTTCTGGAATTACATGAGAAAGTAACGTCATTCCAGAAGTTAACTTTTAGTTATTCTATCAAAATAGTTTCATAAACCCGCCATTAGACTCACTCTATTGAGAAAAATTCAAATTATAAGTACTTGAAGTATAATTAAGTATCTACTTCCATACATTTGATGAAACGTTGGTAGGTGAGGTATTCTAAATACTTTATACTGAAAATAATATAAGAACTGCTACTTAGGGCGGGTATAATAATACTATTTTGAAAGATACCTAACTCAAAGTTAACTTCAATAACTACTATGTGAAGTAGCGTCATTGCAGAAGTTAACTTTAGATACAGGGTGTTTTTTTATACACCGCACCTACAGCCTTTACCATTACAGGTAGGTAGATGAAAGGTGTAAATACAAAAATTGTACAGTATTGGCTAAATTTTTAGAATCCATGGTCAGAAACAAAAATTGAATGTCAGAAATGTAAAATGTTGCATGCTTTCAGCTTTTTCCAAATGGGATGCCCTATATTTGGATCTATATTCTTGAAGAGCACAATTTCCCGATTCCAAAACTATATAGTTTGTCTATATTTGGTTGAGCCGTCTCCAACATATTTGGTTCTAAAAATTTTAAAAATACTATCAGAGAAATAAAGTAGGTACTTGTACATACAGGTGGAATGGTTCACAAAATTAGTAGTAGGACAGTATTTTTACAATTTTTGGAGCCGAATATATGAGAGACTGATCACTCAAATATAGACAAACTATATATTTTTGGAATCGGAGCATTGTGCTCTTCAAGAATCTGGATAATATATAGGACATCCCATTTAAAAAATGTTGGAAGCATGCAAAATTTCACATTTCTGAAATTTAAATTTTGTTTCTAACCATGGTTTTTAAAAATTCAACCAAAACTGTACAACTTTTGTATTTACACCTTTCTTCTACCTGTAAAGGTGAAGGCTATAGGTGGGGTGTTAATATACAGGGTGAGTTATTAAGAGCGCGGTGGTCCATATCTCCTATACTAACAGAGATCGAAGAAAAAAGTAAATACAAAACTTGTAGATAAACATGAGTACTACATTCCTAAATTATTTTCCAGTATACAGGGTGGTGACACAAGGTTGTGTTTTTTTAAATAACTAGCCCTGTATATTATGACATTTCTGTATATAAATAAGTGGATTATTGCGGAACTTATAGGTGGACCTCTGCGGGACGAGCGCAGCGAGTTCCGCAGCCATCTACTCATACTAATATATTGTTGAACCGTTCAAGTGAGACATTCATCAAAATGTAGTTTTTGAACTAATGAGAAAAAATCACCACTGAGAGAATCAAGTTAGTATTGTACTTGAACAACATATTGGTGAATAGATGGCTGCGGAACTCGCTACGCTCGTCCCGCAGAGGTCCACCCATAAGTTCCGCAACAATCCACTCGTTTGTATTTGAATGACTTTGTTACATTATGTTACTAGTTTTGGTAAAGTAAGTAACATTACTAATTCCTGTTAAAAGGCAAATTAACAAAAAGTGGATAATCTTATAAATTCTGACTTTATATAATAAGTTATTGTTCAAGTACAAATAAGTGAATTATTGCGGAATCTATGGGTGGACCTCTGCGGGACAAGCGCAGCCAGTTCCGCAGCCATCTACTCATACCAATATACTGTTGAACAGTTCAAGTGAGACATTCATCAAAATGTAGTTTTTGAACTAATGAGAAAAAATCACAACTGAGAGAATCAAGTTAGTATTGTACTTGAACAACATATTGGTGAATAGATGGCTGCGGAACTCGCTACGCTCGTCCCGCAGAGGTCCACCCATAAGTTCCGCAACAATCCACTGGTTTGTATTTGAATGACTTTGTTACATTATGTTACTAGTTTTGGTTAAGTAAGTAACATTACTAATTCCTGTTAAAAGGCAAATTAACAAAAAGTGGATAATCTTATAAATTCTGACTTTATATAATAAGTTATTGTTCAAGTACAAATAAGTGAATTATTGCGGAATCTATGGGTGGACCTCTGCGGGACGAGCGCAGCGAGTTTCGCAGCCATCTACTCATACCAATATATTGTTGAACTGTTCAAGTGAGACATTCATCAAAATATAGTTTTTGAACTAATGAGAAAAAATCACAACTGAGAGAATCAAGTTAGTATTGTACTTGAACAACATATTGGTGAATAGATGGCTGCGGAACTCGCTACGCTCGTCCCGCAGAGGTCCACCCATAAGTTCCGCAACAATCCACTGGTTTGTATTTGAATGACTTTGTTACATTATGTTACTAGTTTTGGTTAAGTAAGTAACATTACTAATTCCTGTTAAAAGGCAAATTAACAAAAAGTGGATAATCTTATAAATTCTGACTTTATATAATAAGTTATTGTTCAAGTACAAATAAGTGAATTATTGCGGAATCTATGGGTGGACCTCTGCGGGACGAGCGCAGCGAGTTTCGCAGCCATCTACTCATACCAATATATTGTTGAACTGTTCAAGTGAGACATTCATCAAAATATAGTTTTTGAACTAATGAGAAAAAATCACAACTGAGAGAATCAAGTTAGTATTGTACTTGAACAACATATTGGTGAATAGATGGCTGCGGAACTCGCTACGCTCGTCCCGCAGAGGTCCACCCATAAGTTCCGCAACAATCCACTGGTTTGTATTTGAATGACTTTGTTACATTATGTTACTAGTTTTGGTTAAGTAAGTAACATTACTAATTCCTGTTAAAAGGCAAATTAACAAAAAGTGGATAATCTTATAAATTCTGACTTTATATAATAAGTTATTGTTCAAGTACAAATAAGTGAATTATTGCGGAATCTATGGGTGGACCTCTGCGGGACGAGCGCAGCGAGTTTCGCAGCCATCTACTCATACCAATATATTGTTGAACTGTTCAAGTGAGACATTCATCAAAATATAGTTTTTGAACTAATGAGAAAAAATCACAACTGAGAGAATCAAGTTAGTATTGTACTTGAACAACATATTGGTGAATAGATGGCTGCGGAACTCGCTACGCTCGTCCCGCAGAGGTCCACCCATAAGTTCCGCAACAATCCACTGGTTTGTATTTGAATGACTTTGTTACATTATGTTACTAGTTTTGGTTAAGTAAGTAACATTACTAATTCCTGTTAAAAGGCAAATTAACAAAAAGTGGATAATCTTATAAATTCTGACTTTGCGCAGCGAGTTTCGCAGCCATCTACTCATACCAATATATTGTTGAACTGTTCAAGTGAGACATTCATCAAAATATAGTTTTTGAACTAATGAGAAAAAATCACAACTGAGAGAATCAAGTTAGTATTGTACTTGAACAACATATTGGTGAATAGATGGCTGCGGAACTCGCTACGCTCGTCCCGCAGAGGTCCACCCATAAGTTCCGCAACAATCCACTCGTTTGTATTTGAATGACTTTGTTACATTATGTTACTAGTTTTGGTAAAGTAAGTAACATTACTAATTCCTGTTAAAAGGCAAATTAACAAAAAGTGGATAATCTTACAAATTCTGACTTTATATAATAAGTTATTGTTCAAGTACAAATAAGTGAATTATTGCGGAATCTATGGGTGGACCCCTGCGGGACGAGCGCAGCGAGTTTCGCAGCCATCTACTCATACCAATATATTGTTGAACTGTTCAAGTGAGACATTCATCAAAATATAGTTTTTGAACTAATGAGAAAAAATCACAACTGAGAGAATCAAGTTAGTATTGTACTTGAACAACATATTGGTGAATAGATGGCTGCGGAACTCGCTACGCTCGTCCCGCAGAGGTCCACCCATAAGTTCCGCAACAATCCACTGGTTTGTATTTGAATGACTTTGTTACATTATCTTACTAGTTTTGGTAAAGTAAGTAACATTACTAATTCCTGTTGAAAGGCAAATTAACAAAAAGTGGATAATCTTACAAATTCTGACTTTATACAATAAGTTATTGTTCAAGTACAGGGTGTTTTCTCATATATTGACATCCCATTTACAGCCTTTACCTTTACAGGTAGATGAAAGGTGTAAATACAAAAATTGTACAGTATTGGCTAAATTTTCAAAATCCATGGTCAGAAACAAAAATTATTGAATGTCAGAAATGTAAAATGTTGCATGCTTTCAGATTTTTCAAATGGCATGCCCTATATTTGGTTTTATTTTTGAAGAGCCAATTCCAAAACTATATAGGTAGTGTTTGTCTATATTTGGTTGAGACGTCTCCAACATATTTAGTTCTAAAAATTTTAAAAATACCTACCATCAGAGAAACCAAGTACCTCAAATTTTACTTGCAGCTTTCACCTGTATGTACACGTAGAATGGTTCACAAAATCAGTAGGTAGTAGGATAGTATTTTTACAATTTTTGGAGCCGAATATATGAGAGACTGTTCAATCAAATATAATCAAACTATATATTTTTGGAATCGGGGCATTGTGCTGTTCAAGAATATAGAATGATATACAGGGTTACACAAGGAATAGGGAACAACCTATAACTTTTTTAATATATAAGTTGAAAATTTGAAATTTGGGGAGCTTAAACGAGGCAACTTTTTAAGTTTTTTAGAAGTAAATTGCGTTACCAGTCACTTCCGGTTAAACCGGAAGTGGCCATAACTTTTAATTTTCAAATGGGACACCCGGTATTTTTTGAGTTTTCTGACATCAGCAGATCATTTTACGTATGATAAGACCATTTTTGAAAGATTTATAACACAACCAAAAAAAAATTGCATTTAAAAATAAAGATTTTTCAAAAGTTTTTGGGTTATTTCTCAACGGATTTTAAAAATATTGATATCAAAAAATAGGGAAAAAAATCTAGTTTCAAAAAATTGATAGGTCCCGGCGTGGTTACATTTGAAAAATATGGAATACTTTGAAAAAACCTCTTTGTTTAATTTTGATCTGAAATTAGGAAAAAATTGAAGTTACAGATTTTCCTGATATTAAGGAATATCCAACTAAGGGCGGGTATTATAAAACTACTTTGAGAGTTAACTTAAAGTTAACTTCTGGAATTACATGTAATTCAAAAAGTTAACTTCAAGTTAACTGTCAAAGCAGTTTTAAAATACCCGCCCTTAATCAATTTACACCAGTGGCAGCACCAAATTTTTTTTTCTAAAAATTAATTTAATTTATTTTTTTTTTGTTGAAAATTTTCTAAAAACGGTCCTATCATACTTAAAATGATTTGCTGATGCCAGAAAACTTAAAAAATACCGGGAGTCCTATTTGAAAAGTTATGGCCACTTCCGGTTAAACCGGAATAAGTAACTGGTAACGCAATTTACTTCTAAAAAACTGAAAAAGTTGCCTCGTTCAATCTCCCCAAATTTCAAATTTTCAACCTATGTATTAAAAAAGTTATAGGCTGTTCCCTATTTCTTGTGTCACCCTGTATAGGGCATCCCATTTGGAGAAAGCTGGAAGCATTTAAAATTTCACATTTCTGACATTCAAATTTTGTTCCTTCATTCAGCCAAACCGTACAACTTTTGTATTTACACTTTTCTTCTACCTGTAAAGGTAAAGGCTGTAGGTGGGGTGTCAACATATAAAAAAACACCCTGTACATATTTTGCTTAGTACTTACTTATACTTACTCTGTCAATATAGGTTTATAACAATCAAATATCCATTTTCCAACATCGAGGCTCAATGGTCTAGGGGTATGATTCTCGCTTTGGGTGCGAGAGGTCCCGGGTTCAAATCCCGGTTGAGCCCAAATTTTTTTTTTCCAGTTTTTAATCTTATTTGAAATCCAGGGATATGTACATGGCTCAGCACAATCCGAAAGAAATCGAATTCGGCCATGTGTGCGAAAATCCAAACGAGTGGGAACAGAGATTCGAAAAAATCAATTTGGAAAATTTAAACCGTCAAGGAAAGGTTAATAACTTATGTGTTTGCCTCTCTACTATTAAGACTTTTTTCAATTCTAATTAACTAATTTTAATTTTTCTATGCTTACTAACAGATACATCCATGTGCCTGCTAAAGACCACTACGAACACGGACACAAAAGAGGCAACGAACATCACTTTATCGAACGCCACGAAAAAGGACAACCACATCTTGGAGAATTTAAAAACAAAGTAATACTTATACCACCAACAAAATACTTGACAAAGACATGCTTTCTTGCTTAATATTAATCGTCTTTTTTGAAGTGAAACTTCTTTAAAGCATGGTATTACTACTACTACTACTACTACTACTGCCTTTTGAAGAAGTTTCACTTCAGTAGCATGTTACTTGTATGATTATACGTTGTATTCTTCTCATTACACAAACACTATAAATTTTCCAATTATTTAGGTAAGATGGGGTGACAAACACGGAGGATACGGTGAACACTATTGGGACTATAATCATGCTGGACATGATGGACATGACGGCGAAGAGAGTCAGCACAGTGAAAACTACGAAGAATATCCAGAAGAAACCAAAGACTCCCCTAGTATCTATAGAGGCAAAAGAAATCCTGACGAAGAAGTTGAATTTATCAACGATAAAGCTCGCTCGTTAATATTGAACGCTAGAGCACCTAAACACGGAGGCAATTATAGGAGAGCAAAAAATCAAAGATCGAAACGCCAACCTGATGTTTCGAGTTTGGTTTTTGATCAAAAGAGTGGGCTTATTGTTGATGAAAGTACAGGAATTCAATATCAATTGCAAGCTGTTAATAATAATAATAATTAATATCCAACCAAAGACTTATCAGGTTTGCAATAAGAGGCAATCTGTAAATTATTATTATTGCGTTTTGTTAACTAGTTTTAAGAATACATAATATATTTTTTTTATAACAAATAAAAGTTTAACAGATCAAATATATATATTTTTTTTTGAGTTTGTCAAAATATTCTTATGAGTAGGTAACTTGAAAGATTATGCTACTATAATTTAAAAATCACAAGTGAAATTAGAAACACATAACAAATGATCATAAAAAGAACAAGAACCAATGATAACATTTCCATTACAGTTCAAAAATGACCAATCAGCTCCATAAGTTATATTTTTATGTTCATAATAACTATCTAAAATAACCATTTTATCCGATTGAGCCTCCATAACGTGAAGTCCTCCAAACATGCAAGCTGCTAATAAATATCTCTGACTAAAAGGATCCCATTTCAATCTCCAAACACCTCCAGGCATTTTCAATTGATTTAAAGGATTTTTAATACTTCTAACATCCCATAGTCTTACATGCTCATCATAACTACCTGTAGCTACAAGGAACTCCTTGGACTTATTGGAATGAAATGATGTAACTCCAGTTTCATGTTGTTTGTTTTTGGCTACAGGACTATCACCGGCTCTTTTATCAAATTTCAAAAATACTGCATCATCACCCCCACTGAAAATAATATTAGGGTCCCAATAATAAAACCCTGTTATCCAAGCCTGGAAATCGTGCCCATGCCAGGATTTTTCCATGACTAACTCATTGTTAATTAGCTGTAACAAGTGAATATTGCCTTTGGAATCGCTACAAGCGACATGAGGATGTTGAGACTCGGTTTTACCAGTAGACCAATCCAAAGATAAAATTAAAGTCTCAGTAGACTGGTCCTCAAGAAATGTATATTTCGTAACAAGTACCAAAAAGCTGTTTTGTAGTTTGTAGATTTCTAGGGCACGTTTTGCGTTGACTACCCCTAAAATTGAGGAACCGTTTATTTGATTTGGGCACCATTTTTGGTCTAGAACTGCAGCAGTATCCAGGGTTTGGAGAAGTTTTAAGTCAGTTGTTAGGGTAAAAAGTAAAATGCGACCCAGTCTTTTGTTGTTTGAGTTGAATTCTAAAATAGTATTTGGGGTGCAAATGAATATATTACATAGTAAAAATATGTTAAATCAATTACAAAACTTTACCTTGTTCTTCTGTTAGCTGATAATTACCACAAACAAACAAATTTTGATTTGGTTCGTGTGGACACCACTCAACAGAGTCTGCACTATAGATTGTGTCATATTTATGGAGAGTTTTAATATTTTCTAATACTGGTAAATCTGTATTTTCCATTTTTAAATGCAAATAATAAAAAATAAACAATAAATTTAAAATTCGCGCGGTGCTGCAAAAAAGTTTGAGGTTAAGTTTATAGGCAACGTTGCCAAAACATCTTGATTACTCTACACTGGGTTCGGAGCAGGTTTGAACCGTAATAGTGCAAATGCACTGTGAAATAGAGCAGGTTTCTTCGAATAAAATCTGCTTTTTATGCACCCTTTGACCCTAGACAAGGGTTTATCGATATGCTTTTAAAAGTCTCTTCATTTTTCAATATTAATATGATAACGATTTATTTTCATTTGTACAACCAGTGACTAAAAAAATGTATCATTATCCTTTTCTTTTACATGCTTTTAAGTAAAGACGCCAATACATAATACATTTTAAGGGCACTTGTTCACAAAATGGAAATTTTTGTCTATTCCCGGCTCTTAAATTTTTCGAAATAAAGAAAACTCAAGAATCTTGAATAGAAAAAACACGAATGTGTCCTCTTACATACCAATTTGTCTCAATTTTTCTTGCATTTCTTTCTTCAATATTTCGCAATAGCTCAATTTTTGTTTACGAATAGACCTTGGAGGTGTTTTCTCGCGTCTCATAGTTTTGAAACATTTTTCAAAACTGGTTTAAAACAATTTCACAATGACGTCATAACTTCTCGGGGCAATTTTTTTTTTTTTAAACGTAGATTGGATTGTATTTTGAAACGGTTTGAACCAACTTTGTGTGACGTCATGGGTTCATCACGAGAATAAACTATTCCAAACCTGTTTTGAACCAGTTTCAAAAAAGTGAAGGCGAAAAAATAACTTTCATAGGGAATTTTCCGCGCTGTAACCACAAGTAACTATGATCATACTATGACGTCATGGTATCTCATTTGACATATTAAACGGTGAGGTATAGACTAAATCACGATAGAAAGTGAAGTTGACAGTTCGCGTTGACATTTTTAGTAAACTTTTTCTTTAGGTTATTAGCATGTGTTAGCGCTTCGATTCCATCAGCAGGAGTGCGTTCACAGTCGAACGCCGGACGCTCACCGAGTGCACACCGTGCGCGTCTTTTGCAGGGTTAAGTCGTTCACGGATCTACCTAATTCACCCGGTTAAAATATTTGCTCCGTTCACAGAGCCATGATAAGTTTACCCGGTTGTACAACTTTTTAACCCACTCTGAGACATGGGTAACATTTGTCGCGCAGGCGTTTTACAAGAATATTTGAAATTTGATAAACGATACTGTTGGTAATCTTTCTGAGCCATGCATTGCTAACTTCAACTGGTTTTCAAGTTTTCCAGGAAGCCAGTTGAAAGCTTCTCTGGAAACTCTAAAATTTTCCTGAAACTCCTTGTCGCTATAATTGCGTATTGTTGCCATAAAATTATCCTGTCTTTCAATATGCCTTTTTTCAGGCTTGAACATAAACTGTTAGCGCTAGCACATGCAGCTTGTGCTACAGCATAGCTGACTTCTTCTTCTGTATCAGACGAATCCGAAGAAGTTTCAATAGTACTTTTAAAAAATATTATTCCCGGATCCATCTCGAAACATTCGAAACATAACGTATGTAAACAAAAGGAAAACAAAATCAAATCCTACCTCGTTATGGCGCAGGCGTTAGTCGTTCACGGATTTGTCATCAAGCGCATCCCTTTCAACCAGTGAAATATTTAACCTGGTTAAGTTTTACCCAGGGAAAACCACTGTGAACGCGCCCCTGGAATAAACGACAGGGTCGTATTTAGAAAAGTGATATACATTTCAGAATAAAAATTTATTTTCAATTTCTTTAAAGGAAGTTAAGTTGTTAAAATCCAAAAATCCTAAAATTAGAGTCCAAAGTAAACACTTATGAAAAGAGTAAACACTTAAATCCAAACTAAAACCAGGTTTGAAACGCAACACCGAAACACAAAAGCCCAGAACACTACCTACATAAAAAACCAAAAAACCGATTGCGATAATAACAAATAAAAAAATAATGCAGTAAACGGCAAAAAACTGAAAGATTTCACACAAAAATTCGAAATTCAAAATTCAAAGACCCGAATCTGTTATTTTTAATTGTCAAATCAAAATGTCATGTATCATTATTTGATAGTTGTCAGAAAAGGGGACAGATCTGGGCTGCGTTCAGGAATGGCTACAGCCAAGCCAAAATTGGCATTTTGCGTTCGAGTTCGGCTCCAAACTAGGTGGTTCGGCATTACCAGGTGGAGGGGGAAAAGTAGGTTTTGGCATTAGCATTGCCGTCTTTGAACGCACCCCTGGGGATTTTATTTATTTTCAACTGGTGAAAATAACGGTCAAAATTCAAACTCTCTCGTGAATACGACTATATAAGGTAACCATAAGTAGAAAAAAAAAATGGTATAATGTAACTACAAGTAAAAATGTAACATGGTTAGGGTTTCCATAAAGGTTATTTTCGGAATTCAGGACAAAGAAGTCAAGAAATCCGGACAAAATCCGGACTTCGCCGAAATAGCTATTTATGCAACAAGTGTGTAAAGTGAACCTTTTTTCACGAAAGTGAATTCTGACACACGAGCCGAAGGCGGAGTGCAACAATCACATGAGTGCAAAAAGGTTCACTACTCTATACAAGGAGAATACACACTCTAAGGAGTGCTTATCAGCCTCGCTTCTGGTAATCGCCGCCATATTGGTTTTCAACCATTGCCGACACCATAACTAAGTCGTCAGCTGTTTAAACAGCCTACGTCAAGATCGTCAAGGCGAGAAACATCATGCTGCTTACGTCACAACTGGTTGTTTGGCTTGGGGGGATTTGTTACACACGCGCCTTATCAGGATAGGGCATCCTAAGCTGTAGTCTGTAGTAGTAGTGTGTATCATCCTTGCACTCTACACACGTATTGCATATAAAAAAATTCTACATACCAATAAAATATGTGTAAAAAAAAAAAAAATTAGACGAATACTTTACGCACTATGTGCGTAAAGTGAAATAATTTACTAGAAAAAAATGACATTGTCGACATCTGTGATTGACAACATTACCTATTTCACGCACTTGTGTGTTAAGTGAATTACTTCACGTACAAGTGCATGAAGTGAAATTTCACGTCTTTTGAAAAGGGCGTAAAGTGAGTACCTACCTTCCCCACGGTATAAGAAAAAAATAATTTAATTTTTTTATGAAGGCTGAATTTTGTTCCGTAACGATTGCAATATTTTACAAAGTTAAGTCATTTTCATGATCTCCCAGCTTTCCGGACATTCTTCCGAATTCCGGCCGGACTTCCCCGGACACCCTAAAAACCGGGTAAATTCGGACGTATGGAATACATGGTTACAGCGCGGAAAATTCCCTATTATGAGTGATTTCCATTTACACAACCAATGACTAAAAAATGTATCATTATCCTTTTCTTTTACATGCTTTTGAGAAAAGACGCGAATACATTCAAAGGCAGGGCCGGCTCCAGACATTTCGGCGCCCGGTGCAAAAGATATTTTTGCCGCCCCTCTTAGGTACCGATTACTTTCCTACTTTATAGTTCCAGTACTACTCTCGATACTATACCTATTTGGTAAACTTACTTTTGATTTTAATTTTGTTCAGTGTCCTTATATGATATCGAAGCTGTTCCTAGTACAGACAAAATCTACTCGGGTACCGTGGTACTTTGCTCAAAATGTACTCGAGTACAGATTACAATCAGAAGTATTCAATACCCAAGTACTCAAAGTACCGAGTACATTTATGAATACATTCCACACAATGCCACCGCATATCAATGACATCTTGACGTTGTTACGCACCTCCTCTTTTGAACCACCCTTGATTATTGATATGAAAGTCTAATACCACCTTAGGCCGCAAGCGCTGATGTAACTGCGCACTAATCACTGCGCATGGGTTATTACGTCACATCCCCTTTCACACTCCGTTCCATTTCCCAGAATTTACCCTCAAACCGCCGGTATAGATGTTCATACATCAAAAATTGAAAAACACATTTTGGTTTACTATAAATCAGTTCAGCAATTTTACGGTTTGGTTGGTTGGGTTAACCAGAGTCCAGAGTTTATAAGGGCTCAGACTTTTCAAATTTACTTTCTCAGGCACATCGTTATAGTGCACAGAAAAGTTCAAGATTTTCGTTTGCAAATCACAACGAATAACGGAACGAATGCTACGCATCCGTATACGCTACACAAGAAATGCCAGAAGATTGAAGCCACAGATTTCACAGGAATCACAAACCAGTTAAAGCGTTTTTGATTGGTGCAAATCGCCAACAACCAGTTTTCTTGACTGGCAAGGTAAGTGATTTCTGTGGAAACAGGGGGCGGATTACGAACTCTGGATTCGAACCGAAACCGCCATGGATTTCGAACGCACTCCATGTGAATGCATAGGAATGTGTTCGAAATCTATGGCGGTTTCGGTTCGAATCGAATCGAGAGTTCGAAATCCGCCCCCAGGTCTCGTCTGGAAATGTACCTGTGGCCAAATAAATGTACTTAGAGTCCAATAATTTTACGCAGTAACTGCAAATGTATTCGAAAACAATGAAAATACTCTGGTATATGTATTCGAGCATAAATGGATGTACTCGGGTATTTTGAAATTTACTCAGTACAATAAAATGTACCGGGTATTTTTTATATTCTTAAACAGTTCAAGTACAAATTAGGGACAATTACAATGATTCACAAAGTATCGTGGCCTGAATACCAAGTAACTCAAAATGTACTTAGAGTAAAAGTGAAGAGTCCTTTTACCTTTACCCGAGTACCGCACAAGTCTGTATGATATATATTATATTTTGATTATTTTTAAGTTTTTAATGGAATAATTCTGAATTGAGCTGCGCATGCGCATTTGTTTACTTATGTTCGATATGAACAAATGCGCAAGCGCAGTTCAATTCAGAACTGATTCTGAACTAAGTCCGAACAAACCTAATAACACCAAAACATAATCGCTTGCGGACGCGTGAAACTACTAACGATAGGTGTTTTCGGGTTCTCATTTTTCAAACTGTTCACTAACCATCATGGAACTGCCCAGAACAAGTTGCGTACTTATTCAGTCATTAGAACTGTGCTTAAATCGTATGGAAATAATCAGAGTTCAAAAAACGAACATGTTATGTTTTATTTAATTTTTATACAGGGCAGGCAACAATTTTCCCCGAGATTTTTGCCGCCCCGTACAGGGGCACAGGGGGGCACAGGCTGCACGGGTCTTGGAGCTGGCCCTGTTCAAAGGGTACTTATTTACAAATGGAAATCGCTGTTATTCTCAGTTTTTCCCGCTCAATTTTTGTCTATTCCCGGCTCTTGAATTTCTCGAAATAAAGTAAATTCAAGTACCTGTCCTCTCATTCGTCATTTTCTTCCTCAATTTTTCTACATTTTCTTTCTAGTATTTGCTTTCTAGTTAATTCTCATTTTTATCTGTCTCAATTTTGTTCTCTATTCTCGGCTCTTGAATGTTCGTTTTCCTTTAAATTTCTCTAAACAGAGAAAATTGAAGAGCTTGAAATAGAAACGAAATACTTCGTTTTTATTTGTCTACCAATATTTTCTCAATTCCTTCTCTATTTCTCAATTTTCCCAGCCCCACTTTTGTCACTTCCCGGCTCTTGAGTTTGAGAAATTGAGAAAATTCAAGAGCCTAGAATAGAAAAAAATAAGAATTTGAATTTCTTGCTATTGATTCTCATTTATATAATTTTCCTGTTTTCAAATAAAAAAAACATCTTTTTATATATATTTTATGCGTACCTATAATATAATCCATAAAATTAAAACCCACCTATAATAAGAAGTGTGTACCATATTAATTTTAGTTTTAAAGATTTTTAACAGAAGCATTTTTATATAAGCAAATATGAAAAATAAATAATTTACTACAGTAAATAGGTATAATTCTTGATATTTAACATTTAATAAATATATTTTTATATACTAACATACTGACTGACTTTTTTTAAGCTTAAAATCTATTACATATTTGATTATATAAGTCTCAACATTTTTGACACCACATTTATATAATATTATATATCGATATGGATTATTACAATATAAAATAATAAAATAATTTACAAAACAAATCGACGATAAATAGGTATTTCTGGTTTAGCATCTTTTTGATTATTTATAATTGTAGACAAAGTATTAAAGTCGTTTTGGCTAGGTCCGTTTATGTACCTGATCATCCTGGTTGGGTCACTTGTGCGTTTTTTAGCGACAAAAAATCTACAAACGTTTAATTATTTGATTAATTATTGTGATAAAAAATAATTACACATACGCATGCTTTATTTAGAACAACCTTTTCTTTTTAGCATCGTCGAAGGTACCCCAACGGGCTTTGTAATCGACTGGTTGCTGTTGGTTGGTACCATAATCGTAAAGGTAGTTTTCTGGTAGCTGATCTATAGTGGCGTGAGGATATACTGGACCATTTAGCCTATAAAAAAAAACAATTATTCATGTATATATATTTTTAAAAATACTAAATAGAATAATTTTTACCAATTGTTATTATCATTGTCGTTGCCATCCAAATCTAAATCGTATGTGTCGTAGTTTTTATTGTATCTTACAATGGGTTGTCTGTAATTTTCGCTTTCCTTTAGGGATTTTTGGTTGGTTTCGTACAGAGTTAATAGGGCTAGAATTTCTTCGGGAGTTAGGTCAATGTTTCTCTTGGATCTAGAAAAAAAATATATACATAGAGGGTATTCAATAGCTTCAATATCTTGAAATTTGTGAAAGATATTGAATCAAAATGTTCAGGAATTGTAGCTCCTATTAAGCTCTAAAAAAACTGTTTTGGAAAATGTCATAAGCATCTAAAATCAATATCTATCGGAAGCTACTCCCACACAAAAACAAACTATTTTTCGCAAACACTCTCTAAAAGGGCTCAGATAACAACACAAAAAAAATACATTATGTATTAAAAGGCTCTCTGCTGATAATTAATTCGGAAAGGCTCATTTTTATTCATTACACGTCCCTGACATGACTGTTTTTGCTCTATAAATGGCGACATTATTATGCTTTGAGAACATCGTTTTAGTAATTAAAAGATTATCAAATGGTTTGGAAAGGGTTTTAGAAATTTTCTAGTAAAATAAATATTACATTGGAATTAGAAAAACACATTTCATTAGGATTTGATTGAGGGTCCCTTTTGATCCTTTTCATACTAATGCATAATACATTTATTTGCTTTTACGTTCAATTTTATTAAACCAAAAAGTAGGTTTGGCCCTTATATTTATTCATAATTTCTTTATAATTAATAGGTCCAGCGTATATAAACTCAAAATCATTATACAGGGTGTTACAATTTCTATTACTAAATTTCCGATGACGTTTTAAATATTTGCCAAACGAAAATTCGTTTTTGTTCAGCATAAACTAGTGCGTCACTTGAAGGGCGAATAAACAGTCTCAATTTCCATTTTAATTAGAAATCCAATTAGAAATTTGGTTGCAACATTATTATCGGGAAGGAACAAAGCAAATTAAAATCCTATAATAATAATAATTTACGTGATTGATTTGGGTAACCTTTTAAAGGCATGGGATTGATTATTTACATAGAGTGCTTTTGATTTTGATACATTAAATTAAATTTCAATCCTTGACCTGAAAAAGGTTTCCGATATTTTGTCAAGAAATTATAAAATTATGCAATAACAACTACTTTAGGTACCTATATTATTTTGAGATTCATGTTGTAGACGAGAAATAAAAATACAGTTACACGCGATGAGGTTTTTTTTTTTTTGTTTCTACCAACATAGGGATTCTCGTCTCTCTCGTCTGGTCTCGTCGTGTAATTGAAATAGGCTTGAATCGTTTAGTGGCGTCTTGAATTCCGTAATCCTTTTTAAGATAACAAAATTACGTAAATATGTCTGCGCCACAGACGAAACGAAGAAAGAGAATTCTCGTCTCGTATCGAGAGTTTTTCGTCAAGACAAACAACTTATTTTTTCTCGAACCTTCAAGACAAGCGAGAACGTATTTTCGTCACGGCATCACTATTCCTTGGATGTTATGTACCTACCCTACAAAGTGTTTATATGTTAATTACGAATATGTTTTACCAGGGTAGTTAGAATTCTGAATTATAAGTTCTTGCTCTTATTGTGAAAATGTCTTGGACTTTTATTGAAATTAGTTCACAATCACAATGTTGACTTTTGGAAATAGAAAATTAAAAGAAAATAGTTATTGGAAAACTACTATTTATATTCATAATATTACTTATAGCGAAAAATAATATAATCTGGCCTGGATTAATTTGCGGCTCATTTATCCGTAGGAACAGGTTTTTGAACAAATGCGCAATACGATAGAGGAAATTAAAAAAATCAAATAGGGTTTTATTGATTCTGTTCTGCGCAAGTTTAAATTTCCATCTAAGTAGGCCTTGTAAATATAGACCAACTAGTTTCGTCTCGCTTTAGATGCACAAGATAAAAAAAGACGGTGTTGTGTGGCGGCCATTGTTCAGTCGTTCCGGTTAACGTAAAAACGTGCGCATCGTCGGGATAGTTTTCCGGAAATTTTCCTAGTTTTCTGAGTGAAAGAGTGTTTCAAAGTGTTCCTTGTAGTGTTGTGCGTCTGATGAGCACATGCGCCTCGAGAAAATTCAGAAAAATAACGTTTTTTTTTGGACATTTGTGTGATGGTTCAAAATGGCGGCGTAAGCCTCAAGGTAAGCAATTTTTTGCCAATATTTCTCCAGTGAAAATTGATTTTTCATCACCACAAACTCAGATATCAATAAATAATTGGAATTTCTCATGAACATCTTGAATAAAAAGCTAAAATTAAGCCTAGTAGGTACTTATAACTGCGAAATTCGCACTTTTTTGATATTGCTTTGACAATTTGACGTTTAATGCGTGTATTAAACGTCAAATTGTCGAAGCAATATCAAAAAAGTGCGAATTTCGCAGTTATGAGTACCAGGTTTTATTCAGGTTGCTTTTTTAATGAGCAAATGCCAAACGCCATTCATAAATAAGAAGAACCTTTTTATCATCAATCTAAATTTCCATTTAAGTAGGCTATGGAATGTAAACACTAAACAAGCATCACATATTATATCTGTCTCGTTTTAAATACGTAAGACAAAAAGAGACGGACTTGATTATTGATGACAACCATTTTCGTTGAGACAAGTAAAATTCAAATTGTATTAAAATAATGAAATGTAAAAAAAAAATTGAAAAATGGATAAATTTACCTAAAAATTGCTTAACGCGATTTTATTTCAGAAACTGTAAGCCAAAATGGGCTGAAATTTTCAGGGATTGTAGTCAGAGACTTTTGAAAGTCCTCATGGGTGCAGAATAACTTTTCAAATTTGTTTATAGGGGGAGGGGGGAAGCTCAACGTAGGCGAAAAATTTTTTCTACGAGCGTGCGAGAAGTGCTTTTTTCTGCACGCATTTAGGCACTAGTGCGGAAAAGTAAAATAATTATGCATATTGCAATTAAAGTACTTCTCCGCACGGTCGTAAAACGTAATAAAAGATGACATTCGCGCGCAACTAGTGACAGTGGCGGACCTACGACCTTTGGGGCCCGACGCAAAACAAATTTTGGGGCCCTGTCATGCTTTTTTAGGTATTCTTGTGGTGTTGGGGTGCGAAAAAGTTATTTATATTTTTGATTTTTTTTACAGCCAACGAGGGTTTTTAATAGTGCTGGATCTAAAAATAATATTTGCAACGTTGCCAGTTTTATAGTTTTTACGAGAAATCTCTCAACTTTGCTTTGGTAGTTTTCCATTGAAAATATTGGTCAAACCAAAGTGTTTTTAATTCTAGATTATTAAATTTTTCTTCTGCGGATTTAAGAAGATATGGCAATACTGCATTTTCATTTGAAAGAATTGGAACGGTGAAATATCTCAGCAACAGCGTAACATAACGTAATATTATTAGAAATTACTTATTTATTCAAGTGCTTGAATAATAGACCTTAAAAAATTGAGTTTTTTTCCCTGCCCTTCAATAAAGTTTTGAGATTTGTCGGGGAAACTATAAAACTGGCAACGTTGCAAATATTATTTTTAGATCCGGCACTTTTGAATACCGGTGTAATACCAAATTTCATAACGTTATGGTTATGTTAAGTCGTTGCTAAGTCCTAAGATATTTCACCATTCCAGTTCTTTTAAATGAAAATGCAGTATTGCCATATCTTTTGAAACACACGACAGAAAAATTTGATAACAATAAACACTTCAGTTTGACCAACGTAACATACCTATAACATGAAAGACTACCATAGCTTTGCACTTTAGGAACCCCCGTATATCAAAATTCATACCAATCATACCCTTACGTTACGGCGTTGCCGAGACAATTGACCGTTCCATAGTTCTCTTAGGATACCCTGTAGTAGTACCATACTGTACTGTCCGTTCTCCACCGAAAAGTGCCATAAATTATCTCTGGCTGGATTCTGGAAGACAATAGCTAAAAAAATCGCATGAAGTCGAAGCGTCCCGTGCTTACGCGGTTGCCGCATCGCGTCGAGCGGAGCAGAATTCCCTAGAGGTATACAACGTTGCCGTCTCTTTCAAAATTTAATTTTCGATTTTTTTTATCTATGAGTTTTTTTTTAAATTCATTTTTATAGGTCCCTTTAGAATCCGGATGTGTGGGGCCCCTCAGCTTTGGGGGCCCGACGCAGAGTGCGTCGTTTGCTTCATGTTAGATCCACCACTGACTAGTGGGTTGCAGTGTAGCCAGTTTGTATTGTTGCAGAACAAAATGTAGACAATACAAATCGAACATTATAACATTAAAGAGAGGGATTTTAGTCCTCTACTGGGATAAGAATCGCTGAAAATTTCAGTTCTTGATCTGTAATAGAAAAAAAGTTATGGGACTTCAAATTTTGTAAAAATTCAAATCATAAGGTAGCTACGTTAGTACTAAAATGATAAAATTTCAAATTTTATTATGTTGAGATTTTGTGTAAATGATCACCCCGCAAACTCCTTACCTACACAAATTATTCTGAGATTTGAAACCAAAATCTATGAAAAAAGGCACTCAGAAAAATTGATAAATTTACCCCAAATTGCTTAACGAGATTTTATATAAGGAACTATACGTCCAAATGAGCTGAAATTTTCAGGGATTGTAGTCCTCTACTAGGATAAGAATTGCTGAAAATCCAAATCTTATCCAAATTTATTGATTGTGTATTTTCCGCAAGGAAACTGCCAGTTAAACCGATAAAACTGCTCCTGCTTCATCCACTAAAAACGAAATTTCCAGCATCACGTCTCGAAAGCAAAAAAAAATTCCAATTTTCGTCGGCAACTAAAATGAGATTTTCTTTGATGGTGGAAACATATTTTTTTTTTGCGGTATAATTTAATTTTCTTCGAAAACTTTCGCCATATAAAAGTAACTGAACCGCAAATTATTCATGTTATTTTAGGGTCTAAAATTATTCATAAAATTGGCAAACATTAAATCAATTCTGTTGCTGATTTTATTTTGCTCGATAATAAAATCAACCTCTTGCTGGGCATTCGAAAGCTTTTCTCAGTTTGCTTGTTTTGTTTTGCTAATTGATCTTAATTGCCTCAGAGAATCTTATAATTAAATTACAGTTTTTGTGAGAAGACAACAGGAAAAAGTTATTTGGTAACAATTTGCTACTACATAGAAAGCAAAACTTACCTTTGTTTGCTGCTTGCAACACCTCTCTTACGTCTACGATCATCAGACCCATAAAATCTGCAAAAATATTAGCAAAATTACTCATCTGAAAACCCAAAAAACACCCAAATTGCCTACCTATTATATTGGTTGTATGGATCCCCATAGAGTTCTCCTTTAAGCACGGCATTCTCCAAGGCTTCGTCCAGCTTATCTTTGTTCGTTCCGTATCTGTATCCCTTTTCGTATTCGGCGATGCTTTTGTCGTCCATCAGGGGCAGATTGGCTGGATTGTAAAGACCCGACTGGACATTGTCCAGATTGAAACCCGCGTTACGGAATAGTTGGTCTCCTCCAGTCCAATCGGACAAATCTGAATCTTTCAGATTTGTTCCTAGAGAGAAATTATAATAATTTGGAATTTTGAAAAATCATTTTCATTGATTTGTTGCCATATAAATCACTAAGTAAGGAAAGTTTTTATTGAATTTGTAGCCCTTTTGAAACCAGTTTATTGACCAAGAAACAATAATATGTTCTTTGAATAAAGAAAACTGTGTAAGTATACCTACCTCTTTTGATGGCAGAAGTTGGTTTGCTGTTAAAATAGCTCATGCGTCCAATATTTTCAGCTTCTGATCCAGTAGTGGGTTGAGCTCGTTTTACTGGAATTTGAATAAAACAATAAATCATACATTAAACCTATCAATAAAACGTTTATTAAAAATATAATCATAATGATAAAACAATCTATTATAGCTAAAACAAACTGATAATGGATATATTTGCTTGTTATAGGCAAACATTATTAAAAGGGGGATAATTTGCAAACATGTATTTGCACTTTTTGTATAGGTGGAAGTTTGCTGATAATATGAAATTGCCATTAGGGAAAATAATATAATAATTAAAAGGGGACATGATATGAATTAGTGAAAAATTAGGAAGTTTATTGAATCGCCATTATGATCTGGATCAAAGATATTTTTCAAAAAATTGTATACAGTGTGTTCCGCTTATAAGGACTGACCACCCTCTAAAATTACTATTTTTGACCGATTTAAAAAAGGTGTATAGGGTGTTTACATTTATAAGCTCAAATTTCAATAAGTATGTACCATTAGGACAAGGGGCCTTGCACCCACTAAATTTTGTACACCTACTGTATTTGACTGCATTAATTGCATCATGCACTGACTGTATTGACTTTTGAGCAATATCTTACAAGATTGTAGGCTCCACTTGGAGCGACTGCTTACGATTTTTCGCGAGTGTATATGGAATGTAGGCTACTGCATGTGACTGCACAGAATTTATTACGATTTCAAGCGACTGCATTATGACTGCATATGCGACTGTATCATCAGTGGCGTAGTGACGATAATCCGGGCCCGTGTTCAAAAATTTTATCGGGCCCCTATAGGCCCTACTCCAACGAGATAAAAAAAAATTAAAAATGAGAGAAATATATATTTTTTTGAAATATACAGGGTGAACCTCGGGGTGAACCTAAAGTATGGAACATATTCAATATGAAATAAATGAAGCCGTTTTGGAAAAAACGCAGACACGTCGATTTTGTTTTTTTGCTTGAAATTTTTTAACACCAATTTTTCTATACAGGTTGTTCCAAGATAAGTCGTGTGTATGTTATGATATTTCTGGATTCTGCGGAAAATTCAAGACATATTTCATGTACAGTGTGGTCATTTTATCTTGATAACATTTTAAACTGTCATAATTTCTTTATTTTCAAAGTTATTTAAATAAATAAAAAAACATACTGTAGCGTTGCTTTCTATGTTTTAAATAGGATGGACAAAAAACAAAAGACTAATATATTTTGACAGTTAGGCGCATAAAAAGCATTTTTTTAAATGGAACACCCAGTAAATTTTCAGTTTGTTTGATAATTTGTTTCATTCTGATTGCAATACATACAATACAATACAATTGAATACAATTCACTTTATAATATTTATATGCAGAAATGTTTTATTTATTTTAACTGAAAATATGATTACCTACACAGATTACCTGCAAATGTAGGTAGGTAGACAGAATTTTCCATTAGAAAAAATAGAACATTTCTACGTGTAAATATGAAGTAATTTGTATTCTTTTGTATTGTATTGTATATATTGCAATCAGAATGAAACATATTATCAAACAAACTAAAAATTTACAGGGTGTTCCATTTAAAAAAATGTTATTTGTGTGCATAACTACTGTCAAAATATATTAGTCTTTTGTTTTTCATCCACCCTATCTAAAACTTGGAAAACAACCCTACAGTATGTTTTTATTTATTTAAATAACTTCAAAAATAAAGAAATTATGACAGTTTGAAATGTTATCAAGATAAAATGACCACCCTGTACAATCTCATCCTAGAAATATCCTAATAAAATAAGAGAAATATTTATAAGTCTGCATAAGAATGTAAAAAATGAAGTCTTTACCACCTTAGATAAAAAAATTAAAAAAAATAAATAAAATAATCTGTATTGCATGTAAAAATTACCATACAAAGGTGGAAAAGTACCGCCAGGCTTATTTTAATAACCACCCTTTGCTATAATAATAAAATCTTAAACATATATGTATATAAAATTAGAAGTTAAAATTAACAACAGAGATAAACATTAGTTACAATAAATAAAAATAATAATAAAAACAAGATATACAGGGTGATTCCATAAGTTCTCCCACTACGTCGTGGGGAATCCTTCAAGGATCCCCAGAAAAATACCTAAAATAATATAAAGTTACTCTTAATAAAGTTATTAGAAGAACACGGACTGATAAAATTAGCAAACATCTTAAGCGTCATTCACATCCACTTAACTTAACGCATGGAAAATTATAATTAACGTACGAAACTGAGAAGGTGTCTGTTTACAATAACGTTAATTTTCTTATGTGAAGCATGCCTACTTATGACCTCAACTGTCAAGTCAAATTATAAGCACAGAACCAGAAATTAACGTACGGATTTCTTTATGATTGAAGTTGGCCCAACTTTTCCGTGTGTCACGTCAATTTTCTTAATTTATAAGTGGATGTAAATAACTAGGTATCGCACATGATCTTCAACTTTTGTTTATTGTAAATTTTCCGTACGTTGAAATCAGTTAAGTTGATGTAAATAACACTTTAGAGGTAGACATTTTACAGTTTGCAATAGCTATTTACCCTAACAAGTGCGGAAAATTAATTTTTCCGCACGCAGCTTCCATTCACCGAACGACGCGTAGCGGAGTTCGGTGAAGCAACCGAGTGCGGAAAAATATTTTCCGCAAGTGTTTAGGTACAATATTTTTCCTACAGGCGTAAAAATGTAGAATTTTTCTTTTTTTTTTTTTTTGACAGTCGTGCGGTAAAATTTTTCTCGCACTGACAGCCGTGCGGAAAAACTTTTTTCCTATGAGCGTGCTGTAAAGTACCCTTTATCGCACGCATTTGAGTCCCGTAGGGAGTACTTTACCGCACTAGGGCGGTAAAAATTCTTTACCGCACTCAGTGCTGTAAAAATCCTTTACCGCACTGCCATTAGTCAGCCACCAGTTGCAGTTTATTTTTACCTTGAATTTTCACCTTATTCCTTCAGTGCGGTAAAAATCCTTTACCGCACTGTTTTAAAATTTTAAAAAAACATGCATTCAAGGTATTTGCATTCGCGTAATCCATAAAATAAAATCATTTATTGTTTTTAACAATCAATATTTACTACTTTTTATGCATTTTTACTTCTTATTAGATTTTTATTCCAAAATTTATTTGCTGGAAGGAAATATTTTGTACCTAACACGTGCGTAAAGTGACTTTACCGCCCTTGAAGGCTTGCCCGAACGTCGCGTGCGGTAAAGGACCACTTTCCGCACTTGTTAGGTAAATAACTATTCCGCACTGATATGTGTGCGGTAAAAGTTTTTCCGTACCGTGCGGTAAAACTCATTTTCCGCACGCATATCAGTGCGGAAAATTGATGTTTACGCATGGCTGTAATAATAGCTATTTACCTAACAAGTGCGGAAAAATATTTTCCGCAAGTGTTAGGTACAATATTTTTCCTACAGGCGAAAAAATGTAAAATTTTTCTTTTTTTTTTTTGACATCAGTGCGGTAAAATTTTTTTCCTACGAGCGTGCGCAAAGTAGTACTTTTCCGCACGCATTTCGGTTCTCAAAGTTGCACTTTTCCGCACTCAGTGCGGATACAGGCCTTATCCGCACTGAGTGCCGAAAAGTAAAAATAATTGTCAAGCAACAATAAGTACACCTGTCGACTTTGACACATGATGACAAATTTTTCCTCTGTTCCTGTTCCAGCTAACATCTATACCTACAAACACCAAATTTAATTAACTTCAACACATTGTCAGATTTGTTTTCTATATATATGCATCTACAAACTTTCTCATCAAATTTATAGCATTTTCCATTTGTCGAAACAGGGCAAAAAAATGTATCCTTATCCTTACATGTTACATGCTTTTAGAAAAAGATGCGGATGCACTCAGTGCGGCACTGATGACAAATGGAAATCGCCATTAAACGCTTTAAGATGAAGAGCTCTGACGATGATTTTCTGTTATATTTTTTTTTTGTTATGTAATTTTTTGATAAATGCATAGGTTCCCTTCAAGTTAATTAAAAATAATTAAACAAATTATCGTTTTTTTTTTAAATTTTTGTTGTTACCTACCTGATATGAAGCTCGTAGGAAAAATTTTGTTCCTAACACGTGCGCAAAGTGTCTTTTCCGCACGCAAACACGTATCCGAACTCCGCTTCGCGTCGTTCGTATAACTGTGTTTGCGTGCGGAAAAGTAACACTTTGCGCACTTGTTAGGAAAATAACTATTTCCTACGAGCGTGCGCAAAGTAGTACTTTTCCGCACGCATTTCCGGGCTCAAAGTTACACTTTTCCGCACTCAGTGCGGATACAGGCCTTATCCGCACTGAGTGCCGAAAAGTAATTATAATTGTCAAGCAACAATAAGTGCACCTGTCGACTTTGACACATGATGACAAATTTTTCCTCTATTTCTATATCAGCCAACATCTATACAAACACCAATTATAAATTAACTTTGACACATCAGATTTGTTCTCTATTTATATGCAAAAATCTACAAACTTTCTCATCAAATTTAAACGCTTTAAGATGAACAGCTCTGACGAGGATTTTCTGTTATTTTTTTTTGTTATGTAATTTTTTGATAAATGCATAGGTTCCCTTCAAGTTAATTAAAAATAATTAAACAAATTATCGTTTTTTTTTTAAATTTTTGTTGTTACCTACCTGATATGAAGCTCGTAGGAAAAATTTTGTTCCTAACACGTGCGCAAAGTGTCTTTTCCGCACGCAAACACGTATCCGAACTCCGCTTCGCGTCGTTCGTATAACTGTGTTTGCGTGCGGAAAAGTAACACTTTGCGCACTTGTTAGGAAAATAACTATTTCCTACGAGCGTGCGCAAAGTAGTACTTTTCCGCACGCATTTCCGGGCTCAAAGTTACACTTTTCCGCACTCAGTGCGGATACAGGCCTTATCCGCACTGAGTGCCGAAAAGTAATTATAATTGTCAAGCAACAATAAGTGCACCTGTCGACTTTGACACATGATGACAAATTTTTCCTCTATTTCTATATCAGCCAACATCTATACAAACACCAATTATAAATTAACTTTGACACATCAGATTTGTTCTCTATTTATATGCAAAAATCTACAAACTTTCTCATCAAATTTAAACGCTTTAAGATGAACAGCTCTGACGAGGATTTTCTGTTATTTTTTTTTGTTATGTAATTTTTTGATAAATGCATAGGTTCCCTTCAAGTTAATTAAAAATAATTAAACAAATTATCGGTTTTTTTTTCAAATTTTTGTTATTACCTACCTGATATGAAGCTCGTAGGAAAAATTTTGTTCCTAACACGTGCGCAAAGTGTCTTTTCCGCACGCAAACACGTATCCGAACTCCGCTTCGCGTCGTTCGTATTACTGTGTTTGCGTGCGGAAAAGTAACACTTTGCGCACTTGTTAGGAAAATAACTATTCCGCACTGACAGCCGTGCGGAAAAACTTTTTCCGCACTTATATGTCAAAAAAAAAAGTTTTACCGCACCGTGTGGGAAAACTAATTTTTCTATTTTGGTGTCATATCGAAGTCTTTTCGACACTAAAAGTAGTTTCGAAAAGAAGCTCTTTGTGACACTCCTTTTTCACTTATCCGAGGTTGGTAACACTAGCTGATTGATGGCCATTGAACTGTCATTCGCGATAAAAAATAATAGAAGATTTCTATATTTGGCATGTAGTGTTGCCAACCTAAACATATGAAATCAGGAAATATGAGAATAAAATTTCCAAGAAAAGTTTGTTTTTTGCAATTAAACAATACCAAAATAGAAAAAATAGTATAAAATATTCGTTTCATAAGACATTTTATCGCACTCGCCCTTTAAAAAACTCGCCTCCGGCTCGTTTTCTAATATAGGGCTCGTGCGATAAAATGACGTCTTATGAAACTTGTATTTTAATGTACTATTATCCCATTTTGACGTTTAAAAATGACATTATTGAACGCATAATAACAAAGGTAAGTAGACGTTTATCACCTGAGTGATTTAAAATATTTTTAACTCACTCTCGATCTTTAAGTCACTCTGCCATTATAAAAATCTGCTACGAATACAAACAAACAACTAGTTATACCTTAGCAACCACCAATTTTAATATTAGATATTAGCGCTTTCATATACCTACTACAAAATAAATTCTTTTTGAAATTTGATTTCTATTTCTTCATTTTAGTCCATCAAAATAGGATAAATTTTTTTATCCCATTTTGACGTTTAAAAGTGACATTATTGAACGCATAACAATAAAGGTAAGTAGACGTTTATCACCTCAGTGATTTAAAAAGTTTTTAACTCACTCTCGGCATTTTAAGTCACTCTGCTCAACTAAAAATCTGACACTTCCGTGATTTAAAATATTTTTAACTCACTCTCGGCATTTTTCCTTGTACTTTATTTTTTAAATTTCCACAAAATGGGAAAAAATTTTGTATACATCACGTGAGCTAAAATGTTTATTCATTCGAAGAAAATTAACCCACTCGCTAAAGCTCGTAGGTTAAACTTTCTTCTCATGAATAAACATTCATTTAACTCACTTGGTGTATAAATAACTAGTATACATCACGTGAGTTAAAATGTTTATTCATTCGAAGAAAATTAACCCACTCGCTAGGGCTCGTGGGTTAAACTTTCTTCTCATGAATAAACATTCATTTAACTCACTTGGTGTATAAATAACTATTATAGGGAATATCGCAGTTTCAAGAAAAAATCAGAAATAAAGAAGTTGACTTCTCAGCTTCATTCCTTCGTATCACCACCAATCTTGGAGAAGGATTTTTTTCACTATTTTTCTGGGAAGGGTCTCCTACAACGCAGTGGAGAGTTTATGCACCATTTGGGAATCACCCTGTAGATATATTATTTTTTATTTTTATATAAATTAGCGTCAAATGTGTAAAATGTATTTTTTTTCTACTTAGTAGGACAAAAATAATATTGACATTTGACATGAAGAACCGGGCCCCTTGAGGTACCGGGCCTGTGTGTTCCGCGGAACACGCGGAACACCAGTGAGTACGCCCCTGTGTATCATGACTGTATGAGTCCATGTATTCCACTGACTGCAGGAGAATGTATGGTTTGCAGAAGAATGTATGGACTGCATGTACATGAATGTATGGAATTTGTACACCCTATACTGCATGAGTAAAACACACCTCGCATTAGGGATTTTTTTAGAAAAAATCTTATAGTGAGTTCTTGTTTAGAATGGTCTAAAACCCAAATGTACCAATTTTTGTTTCAATACGATACAGGGTGATTACATCAAATTTTCAAAATTCAATAAATCAAACCGCAAAAATGTCATGTTTTGAGACAAGCTTAGGTACTACAAGTTTTGGTTAAGCAAAAACTATGTTGTATCAAGTTTTGTTGTTCTCAAGGTTTCAAAATATGACATTTTTGCGGTTTGGCCCATTAAATTTCGAAAATTTGTTGTGATCACCCTGTATCGCATTGGAACAAAAATTAGTACATTTGGGTTTTAGACCATTCTAAACAAGAATTCACTATCAGATTTTTTTCTAAAAAAATTCCTAATAGTGCTTATTGAAATTTGAGCCTATAAATATGATGTGGACACCCTGTACACTAGTACAGCCGCAGAAATAAAAAATTATCAGCCTTATAAGTACCTACCTACTATCTTATTTGAGTAGATAGATATAAGTAAAAAAAAATAGAATCGGTCAAAAATAAATTTTTTAAAAGGGTGGTCAGTCCTTAAGCGGGACACACTGTATATACAGGGTGTACAAATCTAGTATTTCCTTGAAATAAAATGTTTAGACAAAAAAAACCAGCAAATGAACCGTTCCTATATTTCCACCTGGATGCAAAACACGTTAAATCGTATGACGACACGCCCTGCTGGCATATGAATTTTCATCCCCAACAATATTTGCCCTCAAAAACACCTTTCAAGCCATCCAACCTACGCAATTTCAACATCTATACTGTATAAAAATTGACTTAATTGAAAAACATAATAGGAAAACTTGTTGCTTCTTAAATACCTACTATAGTGACGCATATATTTGAGAAAATCTACTAAATTCCTACTTACCCTTATTGTTGCTCTTAACTTCGCTACTCTTGATCTCTTCCACCAAAGAAGAAGGCAAAGCGAAACTTAATGCGACAAAATAAGCGCTTAGCATTAAGCATATTCGCCATTTGGAGCCCATATTTTACTGGAAACTACAGACTTCGAAGGGCGGCAAACTACTGGAAAATCTGGAAACCTGGGTTGACGATTTTTCATCTGTTGCATCAGCGCGCATACTCGGGCGGCCCTTTCGAATGACGTGTTTTTCCAGAGTAAAGGGCAAGATGTTTTTTTTTGTATGAGTGAATAATTTGCAGATTGAATTATTAAAAGGGCGGTTCCATTCATTTGCTAGGGGATTTATTAGTACATTAGACATAGGACTGTTTTTTGAAGCAGATTATTGTATAAATTCCTTTTTTTTTATTGGGAAATTAGGTATATTTTCGTCGCGACGCAAACATAGTAAATATGTTAATTCAACTAGGCAAGTATAGGAATTATAGGATTCGTTTTTAAAACAAATTCTCAGGATATCAACAATAAAAAAACAATACAAAAAAATATAATTTCAATTAATTTAATTATCAAAAACAACTCTTGTTAATTGTATTCTGAACTCCTATTTTTTAGTTATTTTCAATTTTTTCTTTTTGCTCTTTGTGTCACTATCACTGCTACTGTCGCTACTACTTGATGAATATTTCTTTTTCTTGCTTTTTTTTGACTTTTTGTTTTTAGATTTTCTCTTCTTTTTTTCTTCCTCACTGCTACTAGACTCACTGTTGGAAGAATCTTCACTAGACTCAGCTTTTTTAATAATTTTTGCTCCTGCCTTACTTTTAGCAATTTTCTTATCTATAGACCTTGACCTATTTTTTCTTGTAGATCTTCTAGGTGATCTTGAATCTCTTCTATCCCTAATAATATGTCTCTCTGGAGATCTCCTATGTCTAGGAGATCTAGATCTTCTTGAAGACTTTGAATTTCTTCTACTTCTATCATCCCTTCTCATGGGTCTTGCTGAAGATCTTCCTAAATCCCTTCTATTAGTTTCAGAAGACCAGTTTGATTTTCTTCTGGGAGACCTTGATTTTTTTCTATAACTATTATTTTCTCTAGGCCTGGAATTCCTCCTATGCCTAGGCTCTTCTCTATCTAATCTTCTCCTAGGAGATCTTGAATTTCTTCTATACCTATCATCCTTTTTATTGTCTCTAGACCTTTCTCCTCTAGGGCTTCTTTGTCTGCCTGCAAATTTATTATCACCATTTCTAGTCTTATAATTGCCCTTTCCAATATCATTATTCAAATCCTTATTCCTTTTATTGCCCTTTTCATCAAAGTGGGCCACTCCTCTGCCTTTTCCAAGCCACTTGACTTTGGAAACACTCTGACTGAAATCCACATGTATTCTCCTATCATCAATAAGAACATTGCCCATTTTAAAATAAGCATCCTCACAAGATTTTTGCTCTTCAAACTCTATAAAGGCATACTGCAAAGAATCTCCACTTTTTCTATCTCTTATAACTTCACAAGACTTAATTTTTCCAAATCTACTAAAAATAATTTCCAAATCATCATCAGTAGTGACAGGGTTTAGTTTGCAAACAAAAAGCACATTTTCTGGTGGAGCCATTTCAGCATCTGGAATGTCACCTACCATTTCCAGAATAGTGGCTCGGGCTTTGGCTTCTCTTTCAGCTTGCATTTCCATAATTTCCTGGTTTGATTTGCCAGTATTTTCATCAATTTCTTCGTCAGGAGCTATCCTACCTCCTGCCAATCTTTCTGCGCTAGGAGATGGAGACCTTGAAGGCAAAATGAGATTTTTTGGATCAGGATATGGGTCATTAAGGATGATTGTATGAGTGATTCTAACATCTTGATAAGGCCTATCGTCTTTGTCACAGATAACTTCGTTGATTTCTTCAAGAATTTCAAAGCCTTCAACTACTTCACCAAAAACACAGTGTTTTTCGTCTAGGTAGGTGAGGTCTTCGCCTAAAGTAAGGAAAAATTGTGAGCCTATCATTGATTTTTCGTTGCCTACAAATGATATAAGGCCTGGGCGAGTATGTTTGATTCTTGGCTCACTTTCTGCTTCAAAATACCTTTAGAAAAATTCAAATATTAATAAATTGGTTTAGATTCAAGCAAACTTATTACCTTTTACTAGGTCCATCAATAACACCAAAAATACTCTCACCTCCGGTTCTACTGCCTGTAGGATCTCCTGTTTGGCCTATAAAGCCTCTGCTTATTGTGTGAAACAAGTTGAAATTGTAATATTTGATTTTGCATAGTTTGAGGAAATTGAGACAAGCCCTAGGACGTTCTGAGAGATATAAATCGACGGTGATGTCGCCGAGGGTGGTTTCTATAACCACTGACATGGTTTTTTGGCTTATTTTTGTAAGAATTTTACAAAGAAACGTTTTGTAAATCTAATTTTTCTAACCTCAAAAAGATTTGCCAATAAAATTATTTGTAAACAACAGGCCTAGTCTAATTACAGATTTCTGTAATAGTTTTTTAACGGTTTTTGGGTAACGTATGATAGATGTCGCTAGCAAATTATTTTACAAGTGGCCTATTTCTAGATTCCTATTGAAAATTAGCAAGAATATGGTCTATTCGCGAAGGGCCCCGAAGTAGGCGACATCTATGATCAACTTTGGTACTCAAAACTCAGTGAACAACAAAGCAAGTTTGCATTTGGCCCCCGGCATTGTTTCTGAAAGTTTTCAATTTTCTACAGAATATTATTCATTTTATGTATTGTTTCTGTTATATAAATCACAAAATCATCATAAAACACAATTTAACAAAAACTAACCTCAAAAAACTAGCTTTGTTGTTCACTGAGTTCGGCAGACATATTGCTATTTTTCGCGTAATTTAGCGCCATCTATTGGTATAGGAATTTCGCCAATTGTCGCCACTGTGTGAAAGGTTTATTGAGTCACTAATTTTCAAATATTTTTCGTTTTTAATCGATAGATAAATTTCTGTACCCACCGCTAGGTTAGTTTCGACTATGGTCAAGAGATGGCGCAGGATGTTGTTTTTTTTTTCTTTAATTTCCATTCTTGATTTTTCAAATTTTTGTTTTTCAATTTTTGTCTATTCTCGGCTCTTGAATTTTTGTGTTTGATATTCTCCATAAATAAAGGTATAATACATGAGATATTTCTACTTTTCTATGGATTTTTCTCAAATTTTCTTTTATTTCTCAAGTTTCTAGTCTCAATCATTGCCTATTCCTGGCTCTCGACTTTTTATCGTCTTCTTGTTTTTTTTTTTTTGTAAATAAACTCAAAATTCTGGGTTATGAATAGTAATAGACATTCAAGAGTCTAGGATAGAAAATTTAGGTTTTTTTTTCTAATTTTTTTTCAAAAATTAATTCTCCCTAAGTTACAAAACTTACATATAGGTACCTATACGAAGAGACCTGGCGATTTTACCATCTGCGTAGAAAACTGGAGGTAGACCGCATTATTCTTTCTCCATTCTTCGCGTCTCTAGGTAAGTAAGCACCTTATGCATTCTTAATTTCTTAAATTTGAAAAGTAGGTATCTGAGCTTCTATATAAATAGGTACATACATCTTATATAGATAAATACATTTTTGTGATTCTCCTCATCTACAAATGTGCAATATATAAGTTGTCTTTTTCCATTAATCCATTCATTATACAATTCTTTATTCAATTTTTAACTTTATATACACATACACGGTAGCATCAAATATTCAGTGGGTGTCCAACCTCGTCTCCATCATTTTTCATTTTTACTCTCCCAGCTTCTCCTAGTAGGTACATTTAAATAAAATAAATATGCTCGAATGCCAGCTAGGAGACAAAAGGAATATTTTATGAGATATCCTACTTTTTCTTGTCTTTTCCCGTGTTCTCTATGTATCCAAATGCAATGCTGAATTATCTTTGTACTCTATGGAAATTGGAAAAATACCTATAGATAAATATATTATTGAACAATTTTAATATTGTACCATTGTAAATTTTTATGGTGAGATTTTGTGTCTAAATGATCATTGGGGAGCCCCCAAACTTCATACACTAAATTATTCTCAGATTTGAAGCCGAAATCTATGAAAAAAGGCACTCAGAAAAATTGAAAAATTGATAAATCATCCCAAATTGCTTGACACGAGTTTATCTCAGGAACTATAAGTGCAAATGAGCTGAAATTTCCAGGTATTGTAGTCCTTTGAAAGGGATAAAATTCAGTGAAAGTTTCAGCTTTCTATCTATAATAGAAAAAAAGTTATGACCTTACAAGTTTTTCCAAAAAAATCATAATAGGCGATACCTTTTTACTAAAATGATGAAATTTCAATTTTTTTTTTTGTCGAGATTTTGTATCCTAATGGTCAATCAACATACCCCAAGCTCCAAACACTAAATTATTCTCAGATTTGAAGCCGAATTCTATGAAAAAAGGCACTCAGAAAAATTGAAAAATTGATAAATCACCCCAATTGCTTAACACGATTTTATCTCAGGAAATATAAGTGCAAATGAGCTGAAATTTTCAGGAATTGTAGTCCTTTGAAAGGGATAAAATTCAGTGAAAGTTTCAGCTTTCTATCTATAATAGAAAACAAGTTATGACCTTACAAGTTTTTCCAAAAAAATCATAATAGGCGATACCTTTTTACTAAAATGATGAAATTTCAATTTTTTTTTTGTCGAGATTTTGTATCCTAATGGTCAATCAACATACCCCAAGCTCCAAACACTAAATTATTCTCAGATTTGATGCCGAATTCTATGAAAAAAGGCACTCAGAAAAATTGAAAAATTGATAAATCACCCCAATTGCTTAACACGATTTTATCTCAGGAAATATAAGTGCAAATGAGCTGAAATTTTCAGGAATTGTAGTCCTTTGAAAGGGATAAAATTCAGTGAAAGTTTCAGCTTTCTATCTATAATAGAAAAAAAGTTATGACCTTTCAAAGTTTTCCAAAAAAATCATAAGGGGGCTACCTTCTTACTAGAATGATGAAATTTCAAACAAAATTTTGTCGAGATTTTGTATCCTAATGGTCAATCAACATACCCCAAACTCCATACACTAAATTATTCTCAGATTTGAAGCCGAAATCTATGAAAAAAGGCACTCAGAAAAATTGAAAAATTGATAAATC